TTTAAATTTTGAACAAATTTTTTGACATTACAAATGTTATTGTATTTTGGAAACTAAAAATGTTATCAACAAAATCGTCGGTCAGACGATAGGCGAGTATACATTTTAATTTATGAAACTATTTCGATTTTTTGTTTCAGAATAATCAAAATGGAATCATATACATATATACACCATTTATCAATGCACGTTTACACGGATTGTTGTATTTCCTCCAGAGATTAATATTTTTCAATAAAATAAAATAAAATTTAAAACATAACAAGTTTAACATATATATATGTATTAATAAAGTGCCAAATTACGAGTGAATCGTATTTATACTCTTCCTGCAATCCAAGCTCAAAAAAATCTTTATTTGAAAGTGTACTACCCCTCTTTAACAAAAAGTAAGTTACTGATTAATTTTTGAGATCACGCGATTTGTTAAATTCTAATCTCCAGTTTGTAATCTTCAATCTCCAATGCATAATTATCTGATATCGCTTTTAATTTGCTGTTTACTTCAAATTTCAAATTTTAAATCTTCGTGCTCTGATTGGCCGATATGTGATGATGAAAAGCGCGACTCCAGTGAACGAGCGAATTAACAGGACTGACGCGATTTTAAAAGCGCAAATTTCTTACGCGCATTTTGAATCTCCCTAATTTGACACACGCTCGAGATTTTTTATTCTCAAATCTCAATTGTCTCTTTTTTAATCTCATCTATATATTCTGACACACGAATCAAATATTCTAATCATTGTCACGAATCATGCATATAATGATATAATAGCTAGGCCTATTAATTCTTTTTAATTCATGTACTATTTATCTTTTTCTTTGCTAATGTTGAGAAGAAAAGAGAAAAAATGAACTATGTAAGTACGTAAGAAAGTTCAGTTTAGAAAAGAACAGGAATCTGTTATCTCGTCTGCACTTTGGGCTACACGTGACCAAGCGCGCGATATGTCATGGCATGATATCAAATGACATGTTTTGCGGACGTTGAACGAAACACGAGGCTTTACCGTTTTTCTGTCCGCCTGCACGTATACGGTAAATGATGCAAATGACTAGGTTGGAGATCAACGTTAAGCGTCTCTTAACACGCTGCGAATTAATAGCGAAGGATGATCCGCATAAAGACTGGAAGCTCGAGAAGGTACGCCAGTTATTTCTAACCTCTATTTCTGCCGTTTTCCATTTGACACACGTCAAAATACAAAAAACGACAGAATTGACCTTTTGTTAGATCTAACTTTATGCAATTGTTTAAAGCGAAGCGTAACATCGCGAGACATGCCTCAGATAATTATAATTATGGTATTTCTTATGAAATGTTTATGCGAATTAATATGCATATGTTTATATACATGTGAATTTTAAATTACTTTCGTAACTGTATTTCTTAAGGAAATGATATGAGAAATAAGCAATGTACTTATCACATAAATGTAGGGCATACGTATATCATATATCAGTACAAATATCCAGAGTGCAAAATGCTAACGGTGGCAGTTGCCAGCAAATTTTGATAATTTTAGAGCAGATTCTTATCCACCGTGTCTCTTTTAAACTTGATTTCTGTCTCCCTTAAGACTTTCCAGTCATAATATAACAAAAATGCATAAATGGAAGCATACTTTGTCATTATATCATAATGCAGATCCACTTGTTTTCTGATATCATTCCTACTAATACCACTATTAGAAAAATAGCAGACTGCTCGGCTATTGTACATATTATGTAACACACACTTTGCAGTACACACTTTTGACAAGTTAGCTATCTGGGTATCTGTTGATTGTTTAAAAATTTTGTTTACATAAACATTTGATGTGTGAAATTTTTTTGTTTCAGTATATACTTTCTCTGGATGATATGATGGACAAGCTGCAGACTTTACCAAAGTAATATTTTTAATTATACAATGTACAAAGACTGTGTTTGTGTTAGTGTTTACAGCGCTCATGGCATCACTTTATCCTTGTTGTTTATCAAATGTTAAAGAAGATCAAATAATGCTCACAAATGCTGTAAGCGCCAAACCGAACACAGCCAAAGAATTTTAGGCTTTGCGTAACAATTATAGTTAATGACAGACTCTTCTATAGCTCTATTCTGTAACTCTTAACTCTTGACGGTCATTATCGTATTTATTAGCGTTGTATTGTCGCTGTGAAGGTATAATATATGATAAAAAAAACTGCAATACACAATATAACGATAATGACATTACGAGTTATAGAATAGGTCATTTCGAGATAAAAATCCCAAATTGAATGTTTAAAGTTGATGAATAAAATTAACTAAAATTCATGCATTTAAATACAGTACATTGTTTAGTGTTCTCAAATATCAATTTTATTCTTGATATTGATGTTATTTTTAGAGAAAAGAGAGATTATTTTTGTAATTGCTTAATTTTAAATATTTTGATAATAACAATGAAAGTTATGATCGATATTAAAAAATAGTACACATTGACCTGCCAAAGATCATTACATGAATGTAAATGAATGAACTCACACTCTCACCATGCTTGGATAAATTTCATTCGATAATTTAATTGGTCAATTTTAATCATTTCTTATCTGACAACTTTAGTCTTTAATTAGTAAGATTTTTATCTTGAAATGACTTCAGAACTTTGCCGTTAACTGCTGTCATGTGAAGTCTAGGATAATCTGTATATTATTTTAAGATTGTATCTAATTATTATTATTAAGATCACAGTGTTAAAGATATTTGCGTAGGTAGTATTAAAAAGTTGGATTTTCGTTTATAGTAAACCATCTAAGGATACCATGATGGGTTACAGTAAGCGGATAGATTTCCTGAAGGGAGTAATAAACGCAATGAAATTGTCAAACCCAGTGGAGAGAGTGGTTGCCGCGCAATTACTGTCGAAAAATTCAGCGTCCACTAACAATTCTGTCAGTACAAATATTACAACGCAGATACATCAGAAGACCGTTGCTAAGTACAATCGGGAATTACGGGCGGAATTATTCCATAACAACAAAGGTGACTTGCTTACTTTAATGCATCAAATAGGTTTATTATGTAGGATTCTCGATACTAAACACAAATAAAAGAAAGAGGGCCTAAATCAAAATCAAAGGCAAGGATCTTACATAAGATCCATGGTTAAAGTGGATCTTGGTTAAAGTGCCTAATAATATTTCTGTGAATTTTTCTCAATAAAACAAACTGCACGCCGATTATCTATCGATCTTTATTAGAGGTGTGCGAATCGAGCATTTGCATGGTCGAATCGAATTGAATCGAATTTTTAATAACATGTTCGAAATCGAATCGAATGTCTAATTCAAATACGAATCAAATCTGAATCAAATTTTCCCAGATTTGCATTACATGTTAATTTAAACGTAACAAATATCAAAATTTATGAATTATTTTACGCAATGATTTAAGGGGAGGGTAAGGTTTATTCGATGAAAAAAAAGGCATGTTTTTAAGAATTTTTTTTGGCGATACAGATAGTGTTAGTTTATTCAGTCAATTTCCATATAATAATGCAACATTTGAACAATAT